GTTAGATGTTACAACTTCCTTTGACGTTCAGATCTTCTTGCCCTTTCATCCTTTTACGTGCATGTTATAAGTCAGTCAGTTTGTTAATTACAAGTACAGTGTCTAATATATCTGTCTAAATATTTGTCAAAGAAAAGAGGAAGTATGACAGCGGCCATCTTGTCAACAGTTGATTAGCGTTGGCATAATCTATGTGTATATAAAACTTTCTCAATGAGTCGTCTTATCTCGAGATGAAAGGAATGCTGGGATATTTGTTTGATGACGCCAAATTGTCATTACAACATTGATATGCTTTGATGTTGGGGAGAAAAGCTTTCAGTTTTATCCTGCGGGAGTTGTCAACTTGTGGCCTAATACATCTCTGTCTTGCCCCTGTTGAGGAGATCGTGGCCGATAACTGGTATTTGTGGATTTATTCACGTTAATTTGACACTTCTGCTCTTGGCATGTTCAGTGAACATTTCCTGTGGGAGATGATGATTTCAGATTCTGGTTGGGATCTTGGTTCTGTGGTTGAGATTGTTGTTAGATCTGTTAGTTGTGATATGCTTTCACATTTCACAGTACCAGTTTGTTAGTGAATTTGTGGATAAACATAGTGATGACACATGGTCCTATGTACAGTGTACAGGTTACAAATCAGGTTACAAATCAGGTAATAATAATGTAGCTGCATGGGCAATCTTTTGGTGATGGAATCTGGCACTTTATGAATAGACAGGGGTTTTTGTTATTTATTTTTTGGAGAGAAGAACAGTCATCCATCAGTGATGAAGAACAGTCACCTGGTTGAGAACCAGGCAAGACACAAGTGTAGTCTTGTTCTGAGTCACAACCGTTCTGCACATCGTCACAGGTTCTATCTGTATAATTGTCCCTCTGTTGACCAGAAATAATGGTGCATTTGGAGCATGATATCTAGTGTATTTACCAGTGATCCGGAATATTTTTATGGCCAATTGTACATGTGTATTTTGGTCACGCCAACCACATATCTGACAGTTACTGGTGGACATTCATGAATGAATCAAGTAATAATATCAATAGTCACTTTCATAGCATTTAACATATTTTCTTGTGTAAAGTGCGCATTTTCTTCATAAAACGCACAACAACGAGTTTTGATGTTTTTCCTAAATACAAACTAATGACATTACGGTGAGCACGTAACACCAGAAATACCATGTCTGCAAATCCATACTGAAGTACGCAATTTAATCCAGTTATTACACTATCTGGTTATGAAAAGTGTTCATTGTACATATAGACTTATGTTTGTAATCTATTTTATTAAATTTATTTAAAATTTCATTCAATATTGTTTACATTAATTTCGGCAAAATCATGTGTTAGGATTACCAATATGGACGCCTTGAAATGAACTTTAGCTGACAGTGAATGTATACATATATCAATGCTACACTGTTACTCATTAAAAGTCATATTTGTTGTAGTTTGACTATTATATGTCAACAAAACATTTTCGCAAGTTCATGGGAAGTCTCAACGTTGACAGGTCAGATTGTTCCATTTGCAAAAAATATCCATCTTCCCGAGGCAAGAGAGTTAAGTGACTATAAAAGTCCAGTTTCCACCCTTGCCGAACTAGGACGGTATTATGGAGTTACATTTTATGCATAGTCCAATCAAAATCGCGCAACGAAAATGAAATCCGGTTCCTAAACTTTCGTGTAGATTTCGGTCGATTGCAGGATTTGAAAAGCAAGTGTACCGCCAACTCGTTGTAAACAGATATTTTCCAAATCTTTTCATGTTTTTAAACAAGGTGCTCACGTGATTTGATGCATTTCACGATGTAAGACCTGTTATATCACAATACAGATCTTGAATTTTGATCAGATCGTCCTGACTGGGCGGCGCCATTTTGTTTGAAGCAAATGAAAGTGATACAACAGGTGGAATCTGATTGGTCCATAGGAGAAGCTCAGAAGGGACATAGCTCGTAATAGCCACTGATGGCGCTACGATCGAGACCAGGAATTCCAGCATAGTTCGGCAAGGGTGGAAACTTGACTTTTAAAGTCAGTTAACTCTCTTGCCTCGGGAAGATGAAAATATCCAGCAATAGCAATCAACTGTTTAAATGTACTCCTCATATAGTTATTGTTATTTTTTTCAATGTATATATATGTTTATATGGTGAATCTGCAAGTGAAATAACACAATATTAGAATATATTATTTCTGATAAAATAATAGTTTCAAATAGAATTCTTCCGATCATTGCATCCAAATTCTTTGAAGTTGTATTTTTTAACCAAATCACCGGTAGATTGCTGGAATTTGTGTGTACATGTGATTGCTTTTTCCGGCTTAGTGTACAAGAAAATACACATGGTAATCTTTATTACTTCATTTAAAACAATACCTAGCAGAGCAGTTAATACAATTTAAATGGTAAATAAACGTGTCAACTGTATTTTATCTCAAATTTCACATTGTTAATGACCAATGAAGTTTGTTATCACCTGAATTCCCTGAAGGGATACAATGTACGTGTGGCGGTCGGGTAGCCTAGTGGTTAAAGCTTTCACTCGTCACGCCGAAGACCCGGGTTCGATTCCCGACATAGGTACAATGTGTGAAGCCCATTTCTGGTGTCTCGTGATATTGCTGGAATATTGCTGAAAGCGGTGTAAAACCATACTCCCTCACTCACTACAATGTACTTTTTTTACTGCGCATATGATGTTGACCAATACCGCTCGGTCACCCTGCAAGTCATGTTAACACTAATCAACAACAAAAACATATTGGGTCTCATGTTGTAAAGTCTGGCAAGCACTTTCTCAAAAATATCCGGTTATCACATTTTAAAATGTTCGGTTTGCACTTTTTCAAATCGGACATTTTGCAGTCACAACCGGACAAGTCCAGCGCACAGACCAGTTTCCGGATCCCTGATATTGACAATACTGAATCACACAGCTAATTATCTCCAGGTATCCCATGTGGACATTGTACACCCTGAGGAACAACCTCGTTGCAGTTAGATTACCTGTTTACTTTATACAGAAGCAGGAAGTTCCAGTCTGTGACCAAATACCTATCTCCGTCTGCTAATTACTCTGTAAATAAAAGCAACACAATCCTTACCATATTCTTAGAAATCTCTACTGAAAGCAGTTGACTGTACGATTCCGAACATATCATGAGCATGTGTTTATAAATTGCCTTCAGATAGTGATGACACCAGGTGTTCGCGAAATGTGACGTAAGAAAATATTTATTAAGTTCACGATATGGTTTTCTTTAAAATTCTCCAAAAGTATGTGTGATATTGATCATTCACTCACCTTCTCTGCATATGTGGGGGCGGTGGGACGTTGATTGTGTGTCATGTCACCCAGTCCGCGATGCAGTGTTAACAACACTCACATGCCCAACTCATAACAGACAATTTGCAATATATCTTTGTGAAACGGAAATGCTGCTTACTTTGAGGCCCACATATACATTTCTTACTTATCAGTTCGACACTGACAATTCAACTTCATCAGCATGTAAAGTGAATGACATGTCTGAACTGTATTTACCAAACGCATCACTATAATTCGTCCTGATTACAGCATCAAAGTGTGAATCGCGGGCTGACTGAGAGTAATCACTCGCACATTGACCAATCTGGAAATGGATCCCAGGTAATTGACGAGGTATTGATACACACGAGGTTTATTTGATTGCTTCGATCTGCTCTCCCCGGCATGGGACAGTCAACTGAAATGGTTTCATTGTGTTTACAGGACTTCAGACATGGCCAGTCTCATTGATCCAATTGCCGAGTAATTGCTAGTTAGGAGAACATGTTTTTTTGTCGTGGATACATGAGGTTGGAATCGCTTGGTGTTTGCCAGGTTAGAGAACTTGGTAGATTGCTGCATAGTTACTCATACAAAAAAAACAAAAGAAACATTTTGCATATCATAAGAAATCTTTACCAAAAGCAGAATCTGTAAGATTCCAACGATATCATGAGCATGTGTTTGTGAATCACTTTCAAACTGGGATGGTATAGGTGTTCGCGAAAAGGTGATCGTATTCTGCTGCACTGGTAGCTACTGTCACAAACACATGCAAAGGCAAGGCAATTAAATTTGCATATGTTCATAACTGATTTAAAAAAAATGTAGGCTACACTCACACTTGAACTTCCATATAAGTAATAACGCCCTGATCGCATAGAAAATTGAAAAAGGAAGGCGCTTTTTAAAGCAATGCACAAATCAAATGTGTTGCCAGTGATAGCAGTAGAGAGCTAGCTTGGTTCAAACATTGATGAAACTAAAATTGTAAATAATACATAATTTCTAAACTGCAGTGTTTTATGTAAAGAAATCTGAAATGTACACATGAAAATAATGACTCATGTTAATTATCAGGCTTAGTACAGGACACTTAAAATTATTACTATTGGTCTTAAAGCTGATCAAGGGGACACATTGGAGCAGGGAGTTAATAATATTTAGTGGATTGGGTGGTCAGACTTGATGGATTGTTTGATATTGTGTCATCATAATCAGATGACATGTAATGCGCATGATATCAACCACCGGTTTGCCTGATCAAGACTAGACTATTTACAGGCTTCTGATTTAGCTGGAATATTGATGACGACAAATGACTTGGCCACCCATGCCCCTGACATGCTGTGATGTAAATGTTCGATGCAGCATAAAACCCAAGTCACTGATTTGTTCTAGACTCAATTTGTTTCTAGTCCCAGTGAGTTTAGCTGTGATATTCTTAATATTGTGTAAGACTTTGTAACCAGCTCATTGGGCCTGTTGCCAGTTGTGTAGGTAGTTCGCTATGGGTCCAGAGCTTAGTCCAGTAAAAGTTTGTTCAGTCTGGTAATCTCAGCGAATAATAATAGTGCATGTTAAGACTAAAATTTAGTGAAAAAAACTAGTTCTCATGGGTAGGTGAAAAAGTATTTTCTGGTGAAGTATTTATCGAAATCATGATTGTCTTCCACAGGTCAAGGTCAGTTTGGAGAACGTGACCTGCTACGCCAAGCAGAAGATTATCTGGACAGTGCTGAGAAGCACCCTCGTAACTTCACCACTCCAGGAGTGTACTTCGTCTTCTACAACAATGTCACCATTCCCATGTCTGAAGCTCTCCACGACAAGGGTATACAGGTGCTAGGCCATCAGGTCCCAGTTGATGGCAACGTGAAGCAGAAACTGATGCATCTACAAGACGAGGAGGAGGAAGAAGAAGAAGAAGCAGAAGAGTTCAGAGGACCTGGAACTGGATCTGGACCTGAATTTGGCAGAGACAGTGATAAAGAGGCTGAGGAGGATTCCAGTTCAAGGATTATGGGTGCCAGTGAGTTTCTTTCAGCTTCTGATAGTCCTAGGATTAAGAGTATGACAAGCCTTAGCAAAGATTCCTTACATGCAGAGTCTGAATCCATTGAAAATGAATCTTTGAAATGTGAACAAATCTGTGAAGGTATTATTTCTGAGTCTGTTGTGACATGTTCTGTGGATATGATGAACCAAGAAGCACATAATGTTGAACGTGGTAAAAGAGAGATGGTTGGTGGCAAAAATTCACTTGTAGAGATTGATGGAGATTCTGTGCCAGGAGTACGTCCAGTTGAATCTGCCTTACATGACCTTAGTCTTTCAAGTCGCACAGACAAATTGTGCCAAGACATTGATACCTGTTGTCTTTCAAGTTCCTCAAATAAAAAAAGTGGAGAAGATTCAGGTTTAGGCTATGCTCAGGAAAGGCTAGACACTGGTATCAGAGAACATCGAGGTCTAAAACATAGTTTGCAATCCAAGCAGCCTGCTCGAGTTGACGATGGCTTGAGGAGCTCAGAAATTAAGTCTCTGATAGGTCTTGATGGAGGACAAGGGCAGAATGCCCCAACTGATTCCCTCTGTGGATCCACCCCGGACGCTTCCTCTGACACTCACTCACACTCTCCCTCCAACCCTAACACTACCTCTCACTCTCCAACTGACTCTCACTCGCACTCTCCCTCCAATCCTGCCTGTGGATCCACCCCGGACACTCCCTCTCACTCTCCCTCCAACCCATCCTCTGGGGCTACCCCAAACACTCCCGCTGACGCTCCAACAGACAGTACCTCTCCATCTCCCTCAAAACCTCCAACATCCCCCAAGTCTTCCTGTAGTCCGAACTACACATTGTTGATGTCAGAGTTGCTCGGCGTCATCCCGGTCCTCTCAGAATGCATCATGGACAGCAGTGCCCACATCATCAATGGCATTTTCAAGGTGAATCTGGATATCACCACGCTCATCACGCTGGTGTCCGCTGTCACCCACGGCAACTGCAACTATGTGTTCACAGAGAAGATCCTCACGATGCAGGCAGCGGAGGAGAGGGAGAAACCAGTGCTCCCAGGTCTGTTGGAGTTTATGAAAGGTGAGGTTCCATCTGTTCTTGCTTGTATTCTGTTGCCATGACTACACACTCTGCTGGTGATAGAAACCAGTGCTCCCAGGTCTGTTGGAGTTTATGAAAGGTGAGGTTCCATCTGTTCTTGCTTGTTTTCTGTTGCCATGACGACACACTCTGCTGGTGATAGAAACCAGTGCTCCCAGGTCTGTTGGAGTTTATGAAAGGTGAGGTTCCATCTGTTCTTGCTTGTATTCTGTTGCCATGATGACACACTCTGCTGGTGATAGAAACCAGCGCTCCCATGCGGCCAGGTCTGTTGGAGTTTATGAAAGGTGAGGCTCCATCTGTTCTTGCTTGTATTCTGTTACCATGACGACACACTCTGCTGGTGATAGAAACCAGTGCTCCCAGGTCTGTTGGAATAAACTATTCCAGATTAAATAATAGTTTCAGATACAATTCTTCCGATCATGGTATCAAAATTCTTTAAAGTTATATTATTGGGTAATTTTTAAACAAATTACCAGTAGATTCCGAAAAATTGTGTGATGAAAATGCTGATGCCTGCTTCCGGCTTAGTTGACAAGACAATACACATGGTAATCTTAATCTCTGCATATAAACCAATCCCTATCAGAACAAGATATACAATTTAATTGGTTAATCATCATGTCTAGTGATGTTTTATCTCAAATTTCAGATTTGTATTTACCATGTTTAATTGTTATGATCTGTTCGTTTCCCTGAATTTGCTGAAGAGATACGATGTAATTTTTTTGCTGCGGAAGACAAACCCGTTTTTATTGCAAATGTAGGGATTGTGTATGCGCTGGTGACGTGCTTCATTCCGATTCGCTTTATAGACGGGATATATAAATTAGCATCGATTTTAAAGGCTTGTACAGGGGGGGCGCGTTATAGGTGGGGTTGCTTTATAGACAGCGATATATGGTAATGCATTGTTTTATAGCATTGGGGCAGTGGGGTAAAAGCGTTCCCTCATCATGATGAAGTACTGAGAGAAAAGGTGAAGCACATATGTAGCATCTTTTGATATATTTGTATGTAGTTTGATATTCTGAGGGGAATGCAGTGTTTTAGTGTTTGGTTTTGATAATGAATTAGGTTCTGAAATAACTTCTCAGATACCCCAAAGTCCAGGTGAGGTAAAGTGATGTAAGGTGCAATGGGGTTTAATGTTGCATGCAAGAATATAACACTTATATAGCGATGTGTGTGTTTCTGTGTGTGTGTGTGTGTGTTTTGTATCAGGGTGTGTGTGTGTGCCTGTGTGTGTGGGTGCTTGTACTTGTCTGGACTTGTCTGGGCTGGTTTGATTGTGCTAGCCCAGTGATACCATGTTAACATGTACACCCCACTCAGACAGATATACTCTCAACTGACCAACAAAGATGGCGGGGGATATTTAAATGGGTTCTCATGTGTGCGTACGTCCCGAAATCGTTTCCAGAGCATAACTCAGAAACCGTTAAATATTCCTCTCCGAAACTTTGCATGTCTTTCAGACTCATGCTTAACTGGTGCCTTTTGCTATTTAGGAATTTTAGAAATTTATATTTTTATGTTTCCATGGCAACAAGTTGGACTTAGGTTCTATAGGGTAGAGTTTGTTTCTGGAGCATAACTCAAAACTCATTCAATACTTTCTAACAAAACTTTGCATGATTACCAGACACATACTGAACTGGTGCCTTTTGCTATTTAGGAATTTTTAGAAATTTTTATTTTTTTACGTTTCCATGGCAACAAGTTGCGTGCGTCCCGAAATCGTTTCCGGAGCATAACTCAGAAACCGTTAAATATTCCTCTACGAAACTTTGCATGTCTATCAGACTCATGCTGGAACTGGTGACTCATGCTGAACTGGTGCCTTTTGCTATTTAGGAATTTTAGAAATTTATATTTTTACGTTTCCATGGCAACAAGTTGGACAAGTTGGCAAACCGTTAAATACTTTCTTACAAAACTTTGCATGTCTCCCAGGCACATACTGAACTGGTGCCTTTTGATATTTAGCACTTTTAGAAATTTTTATTTTTGAATTTCCATTGCAACTATTTTGACATGGGCTAAGAGAAATGTTGGATCAGTTACCTGGTTTGGGACCATAATGTGTTAAAATGAGCGGGGGATATAGATGACTTCGTCGAATATACGCTTGTTTGATCCCCTTAATGCAGATTGCCAGGCAGGGTAACAACAAGTAAAGGGTGTGACACAACCAGGTATCGAACCACTGACATACCTGTTTCTGGTCAAACGCTGCACCACTGAGGCAGTAACAAAGTATGGTAGTCAGAAACATTCATACAATGGGTAGAACACAATATAACTCTGAGTTGTTCATTAAAACTTGGAAATTTTGAAAACATTTAAGAATGTTCTTCTCAATCACCGCAAGGCTAAGTGATCTGAAACATGAGATGTGTCCAATCGTAATGTGACAGGTTTATTCACAGTATTGAATTGACAAATGTGATTATTGTTTTTAAATTGAAATTGAATTGATATTCTTCAATTGTCAAAAATGTTAAAGCATCCATCATCTTCTCAGGAATCCAACTGCCCCGAGAACTGACTTTGTAATAAGATATGTACCATTATAATGGGCCTCAGAGAACATCTAAATTCAGAATGGGAATTCATTTTTTTAAATGGTTTTGAAGAATGTCACAGTGATCGATCGATCGAGCTGTATCTTGTGATATGTTTCTTTTATGTTCTGAGAATAATATATCTCAGAAACCTCTTTACCAAATTTAACAACCCCTGCTGCCATATTAATCCACGGTAAGGCTTTGGGCCCACATGCTCGCAGGTTTGACCACCAAAGCGGTGAACATTTGAGACCTGCATCACTTGGTGCTTTCCTCCCACATTAAGTTGACACGCCAGCATATAACTGGAATACTGTTAAAAGTTGTGTTAAACTCCACTCACTCACCCACTCACTCACTCACTCACTCACTAGGGGCACGGGTGGCCCAGTCGTCTGAGGCACCGCGATTCGCTGTGCACAGTTGCGTCCCTTGGGCACGCCAGAAACCTATGATTGTGGGTTCGAATCCTGGTTCGCCCCGATTATGTTTCTAGGTTTGTCAGCACCATACCCGTGCTCGTGGGTTTCACCGAAGTGGTAAGCGTCCGAGACCTGCATCACTTCGGGCTTTCCTCCCACATGAAGCTGCCACGCCGTGATATAACTGGAATAATGTTAAAGCCCACTCAGCGTTAAACCCACTCACTCACTCACTCACTCACTCACTCACTCACTCACTCACTCACCCACCCACCCACTCACTCACTCACTCACTCACTCACTCACTCACTCACCCACCCACCCACCCACCCACCCACTCACTCACTCACTCACTCACAGTACATATAATGGTAACTTCAGCTCACTTTGATGTGCCAAATGAGAAACAGTGTCTTAGTGCTCCTTTTAATGACATTTGTTTTCAAGATGCACACTGACACAGAAATGGTAATATTTTCATAAAGATGGAGTGAGTGAGTTGGGTTTAACGCCGCTTTTAACAGTATTCCAGTTATATCACGGCGTGTCAGCTTAATGTGGGAGGAAAGCCCGAAGTGCTGCAGGTCTCAGACGTTTACCACTTCGGTGAAACCCACGAGCACGGGTATGGTGCTGACAAACCTAGAAACATAATCGGGGCGAACCGGGATTCGAACCCACAATCATAGGTTTCTGGCGTGCCCAAGGGACGCAACTCTGCACAGCGAATCGCGGCGCCTTAGACGACTGGGCCACCCGTGCCCCCTCATAAAGATGGAAGATGGGTTAGTTAAAAGAATTGGAAAAATAAAATTCACTATTTAACTGAATTGTGTGTAAAACATTGTCGAAACAAATGTGATATTTATTCAACAGTAATATTAATATTGTTGTAATAGAACATAAACGTCAACAATTTGAATAAAATCATATGGAATCTTAAAGATGCATGTCGTACAAAACAATATAATTTCATGGCAGAAATACTTTATGACTTCTAAGTCTCGCAAGAGTTTATGTTTCATAATGACTGATGTGAGATGCTGAACAATTAGGAATATCTTCTGCTTAAGCTTGTCCTTGATTCTGATGAAATACTAGTTATCTTTGAAATGTAATTAATGACAAAATGGAATTGACCTTTAATTAGAAATTGGAATGATGCCAATTCCACTTCGATGATGAATGACTTTTGTCATTTGTTTTTTCAGAAGCCAACTCCATCAATCATTTCGTTGTTCTTTGAAGACGTTCATTAAGTGCTAGTTTTATTTGTTTATCTAATAATACTTTTTTTTAAGATGGATGAGATTAATTTGATACAGGGATGTTGATTTTAAATTAAGTTTTTTTTCTCAAAATATTTTTTAGCTTCTTACTTGAGTACTTATTTGATTTGCCATTTGTTTAGGCAGGATACTACTGGGGTTATTAAATATTAAACTTTTACCCGTCGAGAATTCAATTTTGGTTCTTATTTGTTTGGACCATCCTTTTCTTGATGTTGTTTCCTCTTACAGAAATTAACACCACGGTATTGACCTGTCAGACTCAAAGGTCTGGTAATATACTGTGGATTAATTTGGCAATGTCGGACTGACAACAAACGTGTGTTATGTATTATGTATATGACGGTGGTCTTAAATAATCGAGTATGGACCAGACAATCCAGTGATTGATATCATGAGCATTGATCTACGCAATTGGGATCGATGACATTCATCAGCCGAGTCAGTGAGGCTGACAACCCGATCCTGTTAGTCGCCTCTTACGACAAGCATAGTCACAAGCATGGGTTGCTGAAGATCTATTCTACCCCGGATCTTCACGGGTCCATTGGGGCAAGTATATCGTGGAGTCAAACCTTATTGCTTCAAACTCCTGGGCTGCTGAGAAATGGTTTGCCTTACCCAGGGTTCGATACATCCCACTTAATTGTACTACTGTCTGACCTAGCCTTCTTCCTTGATGCTGGACACTATTG